TCAAGAGTTGTCATTATATGGTATTTACGATAGTTACCCGTTTCCTTCACTAAGTTTGAAGTGTTATAGGATTGTAGATGGCGCAAATAGCTTTCGGATAAACTACCTAGGATAAATTCTCACTAATGATTATTTTAGGTGCTCTTTGCACTATAAACACGAGTTTAAGGTATTTTATTTGGAAATTCTTATCATAGTAGTGTTTAAGTTACTGATATGTAACTGAGAGTGCGATTTCAATGTCATTCCCAAAAATTGGTTTTTTTTTTACAAAATAGGGTTGTATTTCCGAAAAAGCTAAACACTGATTTAGTATAGACTTAAATTTAAATTATTTAATATATATATTAATATATATTTTTACTCTCGTATAATTCCGATGAATTGAACATAACCTCATTTAAGACATATTTACACGTCATTTCACATTTATGTCTCTACAGGCCAGCAAAATCGAACCCATCGTGGATATACCAACTGGATATGTTGTACTCAACAATGTCGATACGACGCCATCAATCGTACAACAACAACAACAAGCTACAACACAACAACCGAATTTCCTTAATGCTGCTGCGGTAATACAACAACAACAACAAGCACAGCAGCAGCAGCAAACCACACAAAGCAGTGAATTGCAAAGTAACGAACAACAACAACAGCAACAACAAATATTCCGCCTACAAACAACCGAGAATAGCGTCTCAGCCACAGTGACAGCCGCGACCGTTACACCAACTGTGACCGCTTCAAGTTTCCACTTCCAGCCACAATTGGTTGAACAGCAGCAGCAACAACCGCAACACCAGCCACAACAATCAAACAATAATGTGCACGTTGTTACAGCAAAGGTGCCACCTGTTGCGCAGGTGAAACGCAACAACGCAGCAAAGGCCACAACAATGTCGACCGTTACGAAGGTGCAGCCGCAGCAAGTGGTGAATAAGGTGTTGCCTACCACAATGACGCAATCCACGCAGCAGGCGTCCAAATTGGGTAACAACAACAAGGCGCAACAACAACAACAACAACAGGCGTATGCACGAAACATCGCAGCGGCTAATGCGGCAGCAACCGCCACAGCCACAGCGTCGGCGGCGGCGGCAACAGCAGCAGTTGAGGCGCATATCACGCTGACGCCAGTAACAAAAGCAGCAACACCGCAGCAATCCAACAGTGTTGCTTACACCAAAGTGTCCAACCACACCGACACGCCAGCCGTGTCCATGTTTGTAACATCCGTTACTACAACAACAACGACGAGCAACATCAATCAGGCGACAACGGTGAAGGCCTTGCCCAGCGTGCCGGCAACAGTCACAACAGCAGCGCGCAAAACTAACCTGATCCGACCAATTACCGCCAATAAGGCGGAGGTGAAGCCGAAGGTGATTAAGACGGCTGCAAGCACAGTGAACAAACAGCAACAACAACAACAACAGTCAACGCAGTCACAACTGTTGCAGCAGCAACAGCAACAGTTGCAACAACCGCAGCAGCAGCAGCAGCAGCAATCGCAAACGCAGCAAGCACCCGCACAGCAAGCGACGAAAATGGCGATGCTTAAACCGCAACCACAAACAGCGCAAGTGTGTTTGCCAAAACCACAGCAACAGCAGCAGCCAATACAACAACAGCAACAGCAGTCACAATTGCAGGCACCACAGTTCGCGACGGAGCCGAGTCATAATCTGACGCCACCCGCTGTGCCAGCGTCAACCATGCCAGTGCCACGCGGCAACAGCAACAGCAACGGCAATAACAGCAACAAATTGCTGGAATACCAGCAGCCAGCCACAGCGTTGCAGTCACAACATTTCGCCGAAGCGCCAGTAGTGCCACAACAACCGTACAACAATGCGCCCACAACTATGTACAACAGTGGCGGTGTTGCACCGGAGGAGCAACATCCCCCAGCGCCGCACCTAACCAACGGTAATATGACGCACAGCTACGACTGTAGCCATCAGCAGCAGCAGCCGCAGTTGCCACACACGCAACAAATTGAGTTTAATAGTCTCAGTTTGGAGCAGGTGGAGAGTTTTCCGCCGCCCACGCCGCAGCAACAACAGCCACATGAGCAGGAGAACAGCATTTTGGCAGCAGCGCACACCAACACTAATGCAACGCTAGCGAGCATTGTCAACAGCAACAGCAACAACAGCAATGCGCGTTGTCTGCAATACACGAATTCGGCGTTCGGGAACGTCAATGTGCCGACGAATATCGTTAATCCCTTGCAACAAACACTGCAATACAACAACAACAACAATAACAACGGTGGTAATGGTAACGCCACGACAACAACAATGGGTTCCCGTCCAACAAATCGTGTGTTACCCATGCAGCAACGGCAAGAGCACATAGTCGCTACAACGCCGCCGCTACAAGTGAAGCCGCCCACCGGCGTCATGCCGAAGATGTCCGTTATGAACGCGGTGGACGCCAAGTGCTATGACAACAGGAACGCGGTGAACAGCGCCAAGATCTTCTATGAGGCCGAGGTGAAGAAAGATGAGCAAATGCTGCACATGCTGCACTCCCCGCAACACCACCACCAGCAGCAACAACAGCAGGTAATGCAAATGCAGCTGCATGAGACGCACCAAGAATCCGCGATCATGATGAAGTCGCTATCGCCTGAGGCGCACTTCGTCGACGACAGCATCAAGTGTGACTTGGACCTAATCGAAACCGAGACCACGCTGTCGACGACTTGCCAACAGTTGCAGGAAATGGTGCACAACAATTTGCCGCGCTACACCGGTACCTGTCTGGTAGCAAATGAAAAGCCCAAAGAGCTAACACCCACACCGGAGGAGGCGTATGCGCTCAATGGCCATGTGGATGCTTTGGCTGGCAGTGATATATGTGAGCATGATGGTGATTGTATGGACGACATGGATGATGATGAGGACGACGATGAGGAGGATGAGGACGAAGACGATGATGGTTTTAGCTTGAAAATGCCCACAGAAGATGACGATCACGACATGTCCGATAGTGATGAGCCCGCTGTGAAAGAAAAAATTAGCAAAATACTCGATAATTTAACGAATGAAGACTGTGCTGACTCACTGGCCACCGCCACAACAGCGGAAGCCACCAATATTGAGTTGAATAACGTCAGCTACCTAAGCGGCATGCCAGGCGTCAGCGCCAAAATGGCTGCCGACACTATTAAGTATCAGAGTGGCATGCGCAACAACTACATAACAAATGTAAGCGCGGATGACACTGCCGATGTGGCAGCAGCCGCTACGGAATATATCACACAAATGGCCGCCAAGATGAGCGCACACATGCCAAATGGCTCGCTCGAGGTGATAGGCACTAATTTCGATTTGCAGAAACTCGCGCCTAAAGTACTACCGTCAATGGCTATGATTACGAACGCAAACCACAATGCTGCGCGGCAATGTGACGAAGTAGAGCGCGCCGGCGCACAGGCCGCACCCACACAAGAGCCTGTACTGGCGACGCGCAAACCAACACCACCGCCGCCGCCACCGCAACGTGATCCGAAGAAAGTCAGCGGCCCACACTTGCTATATGAAATACAAAGCGAGGATGGCTTCACCTATAAATCCAGTTCGATTGCCGATATTTGGGAGAAAGTTTTCGAGGCAGTGCAGGTGGCGCGTCGTGCGCACGGCTTATCGCCGTTGCCAGAGGGTCCACTCGCCGATATGGCCGGTGTGCAAATGATGGGTCTGAAGACGAATGCGTTGAAGTATCTAATTGAACAGTTGCCGGGCGTAGAGCGTTGCACCAAATATACGCCAAAATACCATAAGCGCGCAACAACAAATACGCATACAGGCGCACCAAGTGGCGGCGCATCAGCGGCGGCAGGCAATAACTCTGCGTTGCTGAGCGCGACGCTCGCTGGCAGCAATATTGATCTGAATGGTTCACTTGACTATGCGTCCGATCCGGATGAGCTGCAGGAGAATCCATACGATTCTGCGCGCTGCGAACCGTATGCGACGCGCTCCGAATACGATATGTTCAGCTGGTTGGCATCCAGACATCGCAAACAGCCCATACAGGTGTTTGTGCAGCCCTCCGACACTGAGCTCATACCAAGGTGAGTGTGTTGCAAATAAACGGTTTATATTTTGATTTTTATTAAATGTGCTTATTGGTTTTAGACGCGGCACGGGCAGTAATCTACCAATGGCTATGAAATATCGTACGCTCAAGGAAACCTACAAAGATTATGTTGGCGTCTTCCGCTCGCACATACATGGACGCGGTCTCTACTGCACAAAAGACATCGAAGCAGGTAAGCTGCATTTTTTATATAAAGTTTTATGCGTTTTTTTTTATTAAATTCTTATTTTCTTCACAGGCGAAATGGTTATTGAATATGCTGGCGAATTGATACGTTCCACTTTAACCGACAAGCGTGAACGCAACTACAATAGTCGTGGCATTGGCTGCTATATGTTTAAGATTGACGATAACTTGGTGGTGGACGCAACTATGCGCGGCAATGCGGCGCGTTTCATAAATCACTCTTGTGAGGTGAGTAACGACTTGAAGCACAAACGATTCACTTTTAGTAAAACCTACGTCGCAATATCCAAGAAATAAAGAATTTAGGAAGATTGATCTGATTAAAGGTTAGGCAGTTAAATATTTCGTTAAGACGAATAGTTTCGGCATTTCGACTGAAGTGGCCATAAAAATTGTTTCGGATACTTCTTCTGAAATGGTTTTTAAGCAATCTTTATAGCATTGTTATTGTATAAGCCATTAAACATTATCTAGGTCGATGAGAATAATAGTTATAGTTATTGTATATACATATATCAATGACATCTAAGGGTAGATCCGTTGGAGCTGTTTCTACGGAGTTATACCATCAGTATGGGTTGTCGGATGACTACTGGATTTGAAGAGGCATGTAAAGAAGAACTGACTTCAGATGAGAGGTGATTCTTTCAGCGTTCCTCCAATCTGCTCCACTGGTTATACCCTGAAGAGTGTATATTAAGTTTGTCAAAAAAATTTTAAAATCCAGAAATATATACAGAAATAAGCAGCGTTATGAGCTGAGTCGGCCCAATCTTGTAAAGCATGCCCATCTGTCTGTCTGTATATACACAAGCTAGTTCCTCAGTTTTTGAGATATCGATCTGAAAATTTACACACGTCGTTTTCGATCCAAAAAGCTGCTTATTTATCGAAATCCGATATCGGACCACTATAACATATAACTGCCATACAAACGAATTATTTGGCAATGTTGTTTGACGTTGCATACCGACCATGTATAAATATTGTAGTCATACTGTATCGATACTTTGCAGTAGTACGTTTTCGAAGGCAGCCAAAGTTATGCTACTTTCTGGAGTTTTTAACATAGACCACTCTCGATTGCGAAAAACCCATCTTTAAAAACAATTTATATCTAAAAAATATTTACTTTTTGAGTATTAAATGCTTTCCATGGCAAACGGTATATTAATAAGAACTTTCTCTTCCTCCTTTCAGCCCAATTGCTACTCCAAGGTGGTGGATATACTCGGACATAAACACATAATTATATTCGCCTTGCGGCGCATCGTACAAGGCGAAGAGCTGACCTATGATTACAAATTTCCATTCGAGGATGAGAAGATACCCTGTTCCTGTGGTTCCAAGCGTTGCCGAAAGTACTTAAATTGAAATGTTATAAAGAAAACGAAATATCTGTAATAGAACAATAACAAAAAAAAAAATGCAAAAGTGCTTGGACCATTTCAAAGCCCCGAGCAAAGTGTAGTGCAAAAACAAAAACAAAAACACATAATATTTGTATATACATACTCGTATGCAGGTGAGCAAGTGCTCATTATAAAATCACAAATTATTTGCGGACCCTTTGTTAGACACATTAAATTCCGCGCTAAACTAGTGTGATAAAAGTTTGCAGCATGCGGCAAGCGACACGCGCGGACGATTTAATCGAATATGTTGATATTATTGATAGATTGCAGGCATGTCAGTATTCACCAATAATAACTTTTATTTTTCATTTAGTATATATTATATAATTACACACATATACAAACACATAAACACATACACACATACACATACAATTAACAAAACGTGATTATAATGGAAACTTAATTAACTTAGTTTTACTTATTGACTACTAAACTAAACATAAATACATACATACATGCATAAATATATAAAGAGAGCATATACTTAGTTATATAAATATGTAGGCGAAAAGTTATAAAAGAAATTAAGCAAAAAATTATGCATTGCTGGTGTGTTTGTTGCAAACAACTGAAGAAGAATTTTATTATGTCTATACAAAATGTATTTATTATTGAGTAAAAATTTAAAGAAATAAAAACAAATATATGTTTGTATGCAAAGAATATGAATATTATTGCTATTAAAACCATTAACAACTTTATGACTTAGTGTTATAATTGATTAATGGATAATACACACATATACGCAACTAAAGTTATATGACTTAAAAATGTAAACAAAAATTATTGATTGATTAAAATTTATAAACAAAACAATAATGAGTAACTATAATAAGTTAAGTGTGTATGTTTTAAAAATTATATATGCATACATATATATAAAATTTAATTATGTTTTCAAAGTATGCTTTCACAATTCGAAAATAATTGAAATTATAAATAAAAAATAATTAAAATTAAAAATTAAAATAATTTAAATTTAAAAAAAAATAATTAAAATTACAAATAATTAAAATTAGAAATAATAAAAATTACAAATAAAAAAAAATTAAAAATAAAAATAAAAATAGTAAAAAATCTACTTATAGGCGCTTAGCATAGTCTAGAATAAAGAATGTGTATTTGTGCGGAGCAGTGAAACCAACAAAAAAAAAGCAAAATAAAAAATGTTTAAAATTTGTCATTTTCAGTTTTCAAAAAGCGTTAATAGAAATTTCGGGAAAAAAATTTTTAGCATTAAAGTTAAAATAAAAAAACTCTTTACAGAGTATCTTATATTATATTTATTAGATTACTATTAATTGATAATGTCAAGTGTAAATATTTGCGACATAAAAGTTATTTATATTATATATATATACATCTATTTTGATTATAATTTCTATGTGTTAGGTATTATTGTAGGGCGAAATTGGCGAACGAGATTTTTATGTTGCGGCAGGCCAAGCGCAAAATGTATTGTGAGACTTAAAATTGTATAAGGAATTAAAATTAAATATATATATACATATGCATATGCAAAACAAAAGCAAAAACAAAAAATTGTATGTTATTACACACCGTTAGTGTGAAATGTGGGCGGCGCATTCAAGCTCGCGAAATTGTAAACGGTACACAATATTGCTGTGGAAGCGAAATAGTAGGTGACATTAAATAGCAAAATAAAATAAAAGTTAAAAATTTATGGAAAAAAATTGATTAAAAACTGCGTAAGCATCACAATCACTCAGCGTGAACATTTATACATACATTTACATTAATTGCAAGTATTTTATAATTTAAGCATACAAACGTACATATGTATGTTTGTATGTAAACATTTTTTTAAAGTATTTTTAATTTTGTTTAATTTTTTTTTATTATATAATTTTATTTTTGTTTAATTTTTTTATTATATATTTTATTTGTATTTTATTTTATTTGTATTTATATTTTTTGTTTTTGTATAACCCTATCTATAATAACACCCAACATATGTATAATTGTTGAATATTTTCCTTAAAAAAAATACACATTAAAAAATCAAAACCAAATTTGAAAAAATACTTACATAAATAGGTTTTATTCCAAACGCATTAATTTTCATTAAAAATATATATAATTTTTTGTGTTTGAAAATACAAAATCTACAAATTATATAAAAAAAATATCTCCTCAAATATTTTTTTTAGTGTTTCCAATATGTACTTTATTCAAAATATTTTTCTTTTTTATTTAATATATTTTTAATTACTTCTTTTTTTTTTTGTTTTTATTAAGTGTTTGCCAAGACTAATTTTAAAAATATTTAAAACAAATTGCCTACAAGCACTTGTTTTTTTCTAATTTTTTTTTATTTTTAAGCAATTTTTTGTTTACACTGTTATGTTCAATTTTTTTAATGTATTTTTATTTTATTTTTTAAAATATTTTTTTATTTATAATTTTTATTTTTATATATATTTTTTTATTTATAATTTTTATTTTTATATATATTTTTTTAAAATTGCTTTTTAATATGATTTTCAATAATTAGTTTTTTTTTAATTAATTTTTTGTTTATCCTCCATTATTTGTTTTTAAATTTTTTAATTATATTTTTGTTTTATAATTGTTTTATTTTTTTGTATAATTTTTTTTGTTTTTTTGTTTTTAATTTGTATCGTCTAAGTTTATTTATTTTTGCTCGTTTCTTAAGCAAATTCTTCAAAAAAAACGACAAAATAACAAATCGTTTGCTTTCAGAACAAGATTATATGCTTTCCCAGAAATTTAAAAATAATTAACAATCATATAAGCTTAATTTCCTGAAACTTTCCCCACACACATACACACACACACACACAAGTAGAAACACCCAACAATTTAAAGTTTTATAATACCTCCAACGCAATTCCCATTAGTGGCATCTCTACCAACGCTCCGTATCCCCCTTTTAATTGTTTAAACCACGATACATACATAAACATATAAAATTATGATTATAACGTACAAAATACATATACATATGTATATCGGCACAGCAGCAACACACACACAACTGTATTTGTATTTTTAATGTATTATTTAATTATTGTCTTTGCATTGTTTCAAGTTTTGTAATTTGAAAACCAAAAACGAAAATTCAAAAACTCAAAAATAAAACCAAATCTACAAAAACAATTTGTGTAAAGCATAAGAAAAGCCGCAAAAAATGCTAAATTATTATTGTAAATGTATGGTATCCTTTAGCCGGTTACCCATTTTGGCAGCCATTCATGCGTGCAGCATGCAAAGGAATTTTAAATTTTTATTCCCTAAAGAAAAAAAGTTTACAAAAACAAAAAAAGAATAAACGAAATCGAACGAACTGCAACTGAAAATGCTAAATTTAAAAAAAAAAAAAAATTAATAATAAAACTTAAAAAACAAAATTTACATTTAAAAATATGGATTTATTATATTATAAGTTCTAAGTTATGTATACATACTTATATATCATTTGTACGAAACAATAACAAAACAAAAGCAACTATTAAGTATCATATAAAAGCAAACAAGAAATTTGCAAAACGATTGTGAATAAAGAAAATAAACTTTTTCTTTGCAAATAATATAAATTGGACTTTTTGTTGAAAGCCTTGTGGATATTGTATCTCTTAGTTTACAAAGATTCTTATATGCAATTTTCTATTTGTTAATAATTTCAAACGAGCAACAACCTTTAACAAGTTAAAGTTGCAAAACTATACTGTTTTATGAACAGAAATTCATTAATTTCTTAGTTGTTAATCATTTTGCACCTACGAGAACTCAGCCATATTTTCATACTAAACGCTCTTCGATTTGAACATCATACAAGTATTTTATTTTTTTTTATCTTATACTTTTTTAATTGAAATCTTCAAACAGATGTCAACCCGACCAAAATTTCTTTTAAATCTTTTTTTATGCGCGTAATGTAATATTTCATATATTTTACAGTATAGTATAAATTTCAAATTTGATATTCAATGGCAACCCCTCTCAAAAGCAAATTTCAAGTCAAATACTCTTAAACTGCTTTAGTTTGAGAACCATATGTTATTGCAATAATTCATTTATCTTATTAATATCATTAAATTAATTTTTTAATTTTTTTCAAAGAGATGGTAACTCTGCACAACCAACAAGCCTTTCCTAAATCTCAAAGCAGAACCTATATTCATTTAATTCATTCGATGTATCAAGTTAAGTCAATAAAGAAATTGAAACAGATGGCAACCATTCCAACTTTTTGTTATTTTTAAGCGCTTTTAGTCACTGGACTCTCACGTAAACTTTTCCTTTAAGTTAGTCTAACAAAGGTTATACTGGCCAGCTGTCACACCATACATAAACCTACTGGTCCTTAGTAGTATCAGATGGAGGTTCCGTTTAATTTGAGCTGAGGTAAAGTGAAGTACCGTGTGAGTAAAAACCATGCGTGTTTTCCTTCGAGGCTCTTGTACATGATCTTGGCGAACTTGCATGTCCTTGAGACATTTCATCTCGCCCTGATCCGTCTGCTAGCCTTTTTGGAAATTTAATTCTATATCGTTTTTAGTGACTTCCGTATTGCCTGTACTGGTTCAGTAACCAGACATATAACACTTTTGGCAATATCATCAGCTTTTTCATTTTCCGGAATTCTGGTATATGCAGTCGCTTTTCGGCAACCACTACATCGACTGTCTCCCTGCTAGAAGATACTGCTGATTCCGAAAGCTTGAGAGGGTTGCCTGATATCCAGCTGCGAGCAATATTTTACCAATTTTTGTATACGAATCGAATATTTTCATGCTGTTAACGACCGTCTACGCGGTAACCGAAGGCAACTTTAACGTGGTATCCAACTGGGAGAATAGAAGCGGCTTAGCCATCAACCCAACTAAAACTGAAATAGTTTTATTTACTAGGAGGTATAAAATCCCAGATGCTCCTTTCCCTTCATTCGGAAAAACCCTCGAAAAGTCTACACTCGCTAAGAAGCTTGAAGGTGTCCAAAGAACGGCACTCATTAGCATCTCCGCGCACTACACCAACAACAGCACTTAATACCATTTTACACATAGCACCCGTGGAAGGTCACTCTAAGGCTCAGGGAAGCTGGGGTCTAAACAGGGACACACTGAAATTATCCCCTTCTTCAACTGCATCCTTGAAAATTGGTACCAATCTTGGCTCCTAGATATTTTGCCGTGTGTGATAGAGAAATTGTAGTATCAACGAGTGTTGGAAGATGAAATTGAGGTATTTTAGTTTTATTAGTGAATAGCATCAGTTCAGGATAGGTAGGAGTCGCTGAAGAAGAGGCGCAGTTAAGTCCAAGTGAGATCTCTATTAGGACTTCTCAACCTAACATATCCTAACCTAGAAAAAATATGGCTGCCTCACCATCTAAGCACTCGGCTACTTAAGCTTATCCTACTTTCATTGATAAACGATTTCTTCCATAGCGAAGTGTTGATTGGAAACCAAAGTGTGTTTTTATGAAAATCAAACAATTTTATGTCGATGTGATGACTAAGTTAATTAAGGAAAAATTATATGAAATAACAATTATATAGAAGGATGTACTAAAAAACAAGTCATCGAAAGCGCTATTATTTGAATTCTTCGCATATACGGTACGCTCATTCACAAAATCACAGGTCACTCAGTGTCGCTGCCTATGTGCCAACAAGCGATGTCGCTTGGCCAATAAACGTGCTGTAGCCAAAGAGCGATAACACCGACCAGGGCTCGCATTCTGCTTGGCTTCGTGAGCCGCAGCAGCCGCTTTCATTGCAGCCTCTTTCGTCTTGCCATAATCATTGCGTGCCGCGTTCAACTGACCCAACAACTGTTCGACACGCGTCTTGGCGGCATCAAATAGCTGTGTCTTTTCAGCTTGCTCCTGTTGTGCGCCCTGTGCTGCCTGCTCTGCATTACCGACATTTGTCTGAGCCATAACCACTGCCTTGGTGAGTGTCTTCAACTGCTGGGCCGCATTCTGCGCCGCTTGCATGGCGGCATTGACATTTTGTTGTGCGTCTTGCAGAGAAGTGCTCTGCTCCTGTACTACTGCTTCAGCCTCGCGCACCTCATTCTGCAGTTGTTGTACGATTTGTTGTTTGCCAGCAAGCGCAGCCTCTGCCGCTTTTGCCGCCGCTATAGCTTTCTCAGCCAGCTGTGCCTTGACTTGCATGGAGGCAGCTTCACCGGCCGCTTGCTGTGCATCTGAAGCGGCCTTAGCCTCCTTTGCTGCCTTCTGAGCTATATTGGTAGCCTTCTGCTTGGCGCTGCCTGCACTCATTTCGTTCTTGCATTTTTCGGAGGCACCACCACTATTGCTACCACTGCCGCTGTCACTTCCACCGCTCCCACCACTATCGCCCACTTCGTTAGCGAGCGAGAAGTCGGTGTAGAGGCTCGGAATCATTCGTTTGGCATTCTTGCGATGTGGCTGTTTTCAGAAAAGAGACGTGAACTTAACAAATCTGACTGGATATATGAAATTTTATGGTACCCACCTGACGAATGTAGGCGCGCGCCGTTAATAACTGTAACGAAACTATTATCAAGAGCAAAAAATATATTTTCAGATGCATCTACTAGGTGGTTGCATATATTGTATGTTTGTATATATAATTAAGAAAATATAAACAATATTGATTTCTCCTTTCGGTATTCAATTATAAATCGACTGATGTCAAAACGTCTATCTGAAAATTATTGAGATTTTTATTAAATAATTTTACCAGAAGCACAGTACTTTGATGATGACAGAATACTGATACGATGCTATATACGCCTTTAGGCTACTAAAAATTTGCGGCTCTCGGATTAAATAAGAAATTAACTGTCGTAAATGTTTTGGATTTTGATAGGATATCCTGTGTCTTAGAATAGCTATAAAAATCGTCGATAATTCGATAGTGAATCTTTAGGAGCTTCTGTGTGGTACTACTTTGTGACTTACAATCTATTTACCACTTCAAAGCCAATTTGTCTCTATAAACACTGGAAACTTGTCTAAACTTTTTCAGAAAATATTCAAGCTTGGTTTGTCGAAGTTCAGTCATTTTTGGCGTGTACTGTGGAGCTCTAATTTGCTGATATGTGAACACACTGCAAAGCTTTCCTCCGGTCTTATCGGCTTGGTGGTCGTCACTATCCTGACCTAGTGATCAGCTATCGTGTTTCCTTTAATGCCTTTGCGTTCAGAGGTCCATACAAAATATCCTACTTTTCAATCCTGGTAAATTCTTAAGCATAATATATCGGATGGCCCCCTTATATAGCTTTACAAAATATACAAATAGGATTATGTTTATGAAAAAGACTTAATAGGAAAAGAATCAGTACTCTCCTTTGGTTAAAAATGGTTTAACTTTACACACAAGCTGTACAACCACCGATGTTGTTTAACAACACCTGAGGAAACCTGGTTCAATTATATACCAACACCAAACATACTATTTTAAAGCGTTTCTCTTTTATCACTTTTAGAAAAAATTACAATGTTGAATATTGTATTCGGTTGAGACATCTCAAAACATACCACTCACGAAACATACCAACAAACCAAGCTCATTTATGCTCTTTCGCGCCCGAATTTAAACTCTCTACTTGTTACGAATTTCAACCGTTCCCAACACATTGCTAAAGCCGTCAACGTCTTGATGTTGAAATTAGAATTATTTTATTGAAAAACAAATATGAATTTGTTCTGTATATTTTTACTAATTTATTTAACAGCGCACTCGGCGGTTGGACAGCACTGTTACAACAAGAGGCGGGTACGTACATAGCAGTCCAAAATATGGATGTCAACTCACCTATACCACTTTGTTTACAGATGCACCACCGCAATACGCGCCACATGCTACAAAATCTTTATGCCGAACTCATGCCCGGTGAGGGTGGAAGCGGCGGCTCGGAAGGCAGCAATAGCAACGAGGAGTGTAAGAAAAGTGGCATCACTTCGGGTAATCCGAAGCAAAAAGCCACCAACATCGCACAGAAAGCAGCCAAAGAGGCCAAAGCCGCTTCAGATGCACAAGCAGCGGCCGGTGAAGCAGCGTCACAGCAAGTGAAGGCGCAACTGGCCGAGAAGGCGGTTGCTGCCGCAAAGGCAGCGGAAGCAGCACTGGCGGGAAAGCAGCAAATCGTACAACAACTGCAGCAGGAAGTGCGTGAAGCCGAGGCGGTGGTGCAAGAGCAGAGTAGCTCGTTGCAAAATGCACAACAAAATGTTAACGCCGCCATGCAAGCCGCACAAAATGCCGCACAGCAGCTGAAGACGCTCACGAAGGCGGTGAGTATGGCACAAGTGAATGTCGGTAATGCAGAGCAGGCAGCACAGGGTGCACAACAGGACTTAGCTGAGAAAACGCAACTAATGGAGGCCGCAAAGAGTCGTGTGGAACAATTGTTGCGTCAATTGAGTTCGGCACGCAACGATTTTGGCAAGACAAAGGAGGCCGCTATGAAGGCGGCTGCCGCAGCACACGAAGCCAAACAGAATGCGAATCCCGGTAATCGTTGTGGACGCTCGTCGCCAAGTAATCGCATAATGGCAAAGCGACACTTACGACTAGCACAGCGACAACGTCATTAGAGTTCATAACAACATTAGACACCTGTAAACATATATTTCAATTTTGTGAAATCGTCATTTTCTGTTTAATGGTTTTATATTTTTTCAATATTTTACAATACAATTAAATAAATGAACATATATACATCGGTTGTTATAAAAGACGTATTTAATTCCTCGGAAGTGACTGGTGGGTAAAGGAAACTAGACTTGTACTTGTAGTTCAGTAAACATTTCCTAAAAATTCACCATATACTTTTAGACGTATTGCGTGTATTTTTTCATCTTGATTGATCATCATAGTCTAGTTGTCAAATCCATTTCGAAATCAATTTCGCATCGGATTTGTTCCACATTTTAATACAATTTGAAAAGGATCCTTGTGCAAAAAATGTTCGACCCAAGCAATGCCACTAACAAGGTATACACAGATTAATTATTAAAGAATCTAGTTTCGAGTAGGGAGAGTAAAGCGCAAAGTACGGCTTTACGATGCACTGGATTGGTCTACAAGAACTTTTCTTTAGAAAGGTTTGGAAAGAAACTGATCTTTATAAAATATACATATGACTTTATATGTACTTAAGCATATAGTATGGATGAAGAAAGATTGAAATATTAAAAGTATAATCAGTTCGCCAGCTGTTGATCTAAGTAGTATAAAGTCCTTTGAGGGTTTCAAATAAAGGTCGATAAAATCGAATCCGAGAGGATCGTTTTTACGAAACCGAGAGAACCAGACGAAAGTTTAGATGATCTGTCAAAGAGACTGTTAATGTTACGAAGTTGTAAATCGGACTTTCCAACTAAACTTCCTAGGCGAGTTCGCAAACTGGAGCAATTCCGGCGATCTTCTCTTTAGAGAACTGCATACAAATTCTAAACTTAAATTGGATACAGATCCTGTTTTTTTGTTTTTTGTTTTTAGCTGCTAGCTTACATCAATCATTTTCAATGAGAATGAATAAATCGGATGTTTACAGTGAAAATATGGAACATTCTGCAAATCAGTTGGGAGTCTCATTAAAATTAGCCAGTTTTTTGGGTATATACATTATTAAGAAAGTCATTAAGACTTATATATCAGATGCTGAAAAATATTTTTCAAACCTGGTTTATGGTTTCCTATAAAACCTTTTTCAATAAATTGACATTCTTAAATATTATTATTAAGGAATATCAAAAAATATGTGGATATAAAAATAGGCACGTCTTTGCAAGTTAATCGATTCACAAAAAGTAATTCTAAAATAAACATTTTAACAAATATAAATGTATGTATATATAGAAAGAAAATGTATCACTGCTTCGTTTGCGGCGGTACGGCAAGCCGACGCTTACGAGGCACACGCATCATACGACGGCAACGACCAGTCGGTGATGCATTCACCTTAGCCTCGTGCGCAGCGGCAGCCGCTTTCATGGCCGCATCCTTTGTCTTATTGAAATCCTGTCGGGCGGAGCTCAATTGCCGCAACAGCTGTTCGACACGCATTTTAGCTGCCTCCACCAGCTGCGTCTTCTCGGCGAACTCCTGCTGTGCACCAGTCGCAGCCTGTTCGGCGTTGCCGACGTTCGCTTGCGCTGTCTGCACCGCCTTCGTGAGCGTTTTTAGTTGCGATTGTGCTTGCTGCGCCGAGCTGACGGCAGCATTGACATTCTGCTGTGCATTCTGTAGTGAGCTACTCTCTTCTTGTACGACAGCCTCGGCTTCGCGCACTTCCTGCTGCAACTGCTGTACGATTTGTTGTTTGCCTGCGAGCGCAGCCTCGGCCGCTTTGGCAGCTTGCATAGCCTTCTCAGCTAGTTGTCCCTTCACTTGAAGTGCAGCGGCCTCGCCAGCCGCCTGCTGGGCTTCAGACGCGGCTTTAGCCTCTTGAGCTGCTTTCTGTGCGATGCTTGTGGCCTTTTGTTTCGCATTTCCTGCCATCATGGGGCTTTGCTTGCACTCACCTTCCGATCGGTTTGCACCGCCCTCTTGCTCGCCACCGGAATCCTCTGAGTACTGTGCGTACAAACGCGGCAACATTCGCTTCATCTTTCGGTGTTGCTCCTGAAATACGTTGTGGATATCAAATATTTAGTGAGGTGGTTTAAGCTTTTAACACGCGGTCACATACCTGTATACGATTGTTGTCGAAACTTTGCGCGATGAAAAAATTACAGTTTAAAAGGATCAATGTGAAAATGATCGAACGCATTTTCAATATTTTGCGGAAGCTATTCTTCAAACTGTTTCATAGTTATTGCTTTTGCATAAGTTGTTGGTTACCTAGCGGAGTTGTCAGATGATCGTTAAAATCACTTCAGCGGTAATTATATTTATTTTGCTTGGATTTTGATATGACGTTTTAAAATTCCAACATCAAATTCTGATAAAGTTTGCAAAGTGACAAATATCTTATGGACCTAAAGAATAATGTATATGAGGCAAGTTTGATATACTTAGATGATTCTTTGAGTTACAATTGACTCTTAACGCGCGGTAAATTAGTGTGAATTAAAAAATATAGTATATTGTTGTTTACAACCCATAAAGACAAGAGAAGAATTGTGCTAATATATTCATAATCATTTTATTTACTGATAGTGGAGTTACCTAACTACTATTATCCAAGTGCATTGCCCGTCCGTTCTCAATCTTCCAAGTTGACTATATTAAGGCACATTGAGTACAGAATACACTAACAATGGTTTGGCTTAAGAATAACACTTTGTAATAGAACTTGCAGAGACAGAGATGTTGGCCATGGTTTTTGTGGTCTCAAAGAAAATATGCACGACTCTTTCGGGAGCTATTGTGAGTGAAAAGCACCTATGACAGAAGAACAGCCTTGCAGCGACAATGCTTTTTGGAAATATTTATAATAATTAATGCATGTTTCTTGTTTAAAAAGAGATGTCCAATATCTATCAAATGCATTTAAGCTATTATTACGCACTTATTTCTACCAAGCGACAGCCACCTAAACACCATTTAACAATTAGATTGGAATTGGGAGCCGTGGTAGATACACCGGCTGAACACTGGGCGCAAATGCTCTAACGTTTCATCATTCACCGCGTATGCTCTTCATTCTGCCTATTCCACTTTACAGAGTTTCTGAAAGTAAGTTCTGAGCGGTAAGTGATCTGTGATGAACCCTACGAAGTTACTCTTTCGTAAAAGTAGAAGATATTTGGTCATTATCATCATCACTGCTTTTCTACTCGGTTACTGCACTAGAGATACGGTCTACCTCTACCGCTTTTACCACCAACTCTCGCATCAAACGTCTTTTTTCATTCATCATTACCAAGCCAGGGCAGCTGCTGGATGTTTCTTCGCTAGACAATGTAAGGGCGTGGTTCATCGCAAACAGTTCGTCGTTAGGCCGAATACGATAGTGGTCGATAACACGTAAAGCGTCAAGCATCTCTAGCATCCTACAAGCGTCAGCTGGAGAACTATGGTCGACTTTAGAGTGTTCATTTTGTCTGTCTAGAAAGGGCTATACATCCTCATTGCCAAAAGGATCAGTATTATTTCAACATTTGTAATTTGGAGTTTTTAAACTCTAGCTTTACGCATTAACTAGAAGTTCTAGAACTGCCGGGTTACTATAGAACATGTGCCCACGAAATTCTGTATCTATCTTAAATCACTTTTAGTTCATGAAGTTTTCTTCGAATATTCAGCTTTTGGTAACATGTTGCTCTGAATAATGTAATGGCAGTGTGGCTTTTGAACTTTGTAAATAGAGCTTCGGTTCGCCCTATATATTTACCAATGGATTAAAATTATTTGAGATGAGCCATTATTTGATTTGCTGTTCTAGATGCCATAAACGGCCACTATAATTCTCAACCGTTTGAAAGAGAGTTTACCTTATATGAATTGAAATTTTCTCTTCACTTTAGGGAAAGCGCCATCTGTCTTAAAGAGAATGCCTGCGGTCGAGCGCTATTACTGTAACTTTTTTAACATGCTCAAAATATAACTATTTGCTGGAAATTCGTAAACAAGAATTGATAAAGTGAAGTAAATACCAAACAATAAAAAATACTCATTGCTTAGTCATTAACTTAGTAATTTACAGCGCAAAAATGACGGAACATGACTGAAACTTAAAGTGTTTAAATGTTACACTGTCAGCCAAGTAATACAATGACCTATTACGAGAAGTAATTGCTAAGTCCATATTGTTTACTAAAGCTATATAAGTTTAAATAAAATCATGTTCCATTCATTCCGCATGTTTGGCATTATAACCAATTGACTGATTTTAATAATGTATCCGGTGGGACAGCCTTCTACAACATACTATATTGGAACTAAAAAATTCTTGATAAGAGATATGAGATCAATGGACAGCCGAAGTACATATCTAATGATGAAGTATTATTAAACAGGCAGTGGTTTATCTTGGCGGTATTCTATCTATCGGTTAGTATCAAATCAACGGAAAAAAATCTTAATTGACAACGGTTATATGTATATTCGTAGAACCGGCGGTGATGGGAACGATTACATTTACTTTTCAAATCATAAATATTATAATAAAATATTTCGACCGAATGAAATGATCATTTCCTATAATATATTTTAAAAATACTACAAGTCTTAGTCGTGGAAAAAACGCTGAAAGAGATTTTGTAATCAAAAACGCACAATTCACTGAACTGCCCTCGTACCGTAATCTCATTCGCAAATCACTGCAACGGCATTGAATGGATCGCCATTGAAGTGGAATTTTCTAGAGAAGTGAATTTCTGCATCATAAAAACGAGTGCATGAGAAAAAGTAGCGGCAAAAGATCGCAAGGCGAGTTACGAAAGAAAACAAAGTAACAAAAACGATCTTGCACTTTCATCCGACTTAGTGGTCAGCAACACCAACCGCGCCGAGAGTCATGCATTGCTAATAAAATGTATGCAACAGAAAGTTAGACAGTCACACGTCTGAACTCAGTTATTATGACAGAGCTGAAGAAATGCAACAAAAACAATTGCAACACGCGCAAACGAAGATGCTGGTCAGCAGACAAACGTTCATGACCGGCCAGCGAGTGCAACGGCTGCTTACGTTTGGGATATACATGCCTATACACAAATTTCTAGCCTTTTCAGTCACTCTGCGGTGCGGCAACAACTTTATAAATATGATTGCTGGGCGCGCATGCGCAACATGTTTGCCACTGAACGTATTCGCGTGCGGCTCAAAATCGATAGCAGGCAACGCGCGTGTTGACAACAACTGCACTTACAACCATTATATTGCTTCCACATATCAAATTGTAACTATTGCGCGAACTCCTGGTGTTGCTGCGGCGCGTTCGAGTTCCGTTCACACAGGTTCATTCCGGATATACATGCATACATACATATGTGCGCGTGAGATTGCAAACGAAGTTGAAAGTGGTTTTTCCTGAAAAGTAAAAGCGTCCAACTACTACATAACCCCACACGCCAGGCTTTCGGCAACCCATTCCACCAACATCACCTTGGACTTGTACGCCTGACGACATTGAATTCGCATTTAAATTTTGGAAAAGAAAAAAAAAACTGTAGAAATTTGTTACAACAAAATTATTCGATAATTCGCATACGTTCACATCGGAGAGTTAACGCATGCGCAGTATTTGTTATTTTTGCGAGCAACTGTACGCGCGTTTAATCAGTTGCAATTAGATATTGACAGCATCAGGACGCGTATAAAAACTTTGCACGCGCGTTGCTCAAACGGGAAGTAAATCGTTTACAGGAAATAACTGCTAAGGACTCATTTGCAAAAACTGTACGGAAATCAAATAAGAAAGCATTGTTTGCTGTAATTAATAATAAAAATCCAGTGCAGTGATATAGAGATCCATTTAAGCGAAATATGAATCAAATACTAGGAAGTGTTTTACAAAATTAAATTCACAATAAACATTTATGAAAACAACATTGGAAGGCGTTGAGGTTTGTAAACGAGCAGCAGTAACTTCAGTTTTCAAACGCTTGATGAAACACTGCAGTTTCCTTCATGCGGTATTTATTTTGATGTGTTCACATGAGAGTAATCCCAAAACTTCTTGAAAGAAAATAATACCAAAAATTATTACATAGGTCAATTTTACGCCTCGTCGAGTTGTTCTATCCAGCTTCTTTTCCAATTTGTAGTGTTTGTCTTGATGCTTTCCGACAAATAAATAAGTTTTTAGTCGGCGACAAAAGCTTACTAATTTTTCCAGAAGCTTTGTAATGGCGCCAATACGCTCTGAAGCAAATTATTTTGAGCTTAGTCGAGCTTGAAACCATGTCCTGCTTTGAAATTTGTGAACCTCTATACAGAAATATATTCAACTTTAATTTATGATTAAATCATTACTTGAAGCTCAGCTCAGCATCGCCTTCTTCTGGTATTATATTATAGGCATATGTCCTATATTTATTGGACAAAATAAGTCGCATCAAGTTTTAAACAAGCTTCGAACAGCGTATGTATTATTTTGAGTTTTTTTATTACAGAAATAAACTCGAAGGTGCCACGGTGCGAAGTGTATTCGAAAAAAATGTTTTTTTATTTAGTTTGGAAACTGGTATCGATGCTGGGGTCTGCAGAGTTTTAGCGCTTATTTTCTACAATAACAATACTGCAATAAATAACTAATTTTTTCAATACAGTCTTTGAGTTTTATACATTTCCACCTTCGTAAAAACCAGCTGCTGAACTCTGGATTACTAGATACCTAGACCATTAAATCTGTTTTTTTTTTTTGCTGCTTACCAATTAGGTTACTATAAACGTTTTCAATAGCTCCTTACATGAATATTTGGAAAATATTAGACAAAGACTTGTTTCATGTTCTGGATAAAATGTATGGAAGTCGACGGAGGAACATTTTTTATAGATACCAATGCTTTCCTTTGAGTTGACAGCGTTGGACGTTAAAAATATAGCATCTCTTATGGTTGCCGAGAACCGCCATATACGGCTCTTTGAATCATTATATCATTTAGTTTTAACTGGACTGGATATTTTGATAATTTCCAACTTTGCTTGTTGTACCTGAAAGTATTCTTTTGTTAACATCCATCTTCCTTCAAATATTTACACACATATAGATCAGACATATTATTTGCACTGAGGAAGATCATATTAATTTTTTTCAGATTGTGACCGAAATTTTCCATAATCTGTATTAAAGTTTTCATCAACAAAGATGTCACGCCTTTATATTGCTACCACCGTGCTACTGCTACTCGGTAAGTGCTTTGCAGTTAGTTTAGAAAAATAATACAATTAGTTTTCATACGCAGTTCCCTCGGTATTGTCAGCGAGCACATTTTTCACCGTAAGGTCACGCAAAGTAAAGCGCACAGGAAGCTATTTAAATGTACCACCTCCACTGCCACCACACTCTCAATCTCAATCACACTCTCAATCTCAATCTCAACCTTATCCGCCACCTCCACCTCAACCACAGCCACAACCATCTCCGGCTACTGCTGCGTCCCATCGGGTGGAACACGAACCATATCCATACGAAGACATTAACGAGCATGATTATCACTCTCAGTCAGAAATAGAGCACTACGAAACCGATTTTAAGCCCACACAAACACTTTCACACTCCAATGTGCACAGTGCTCCCACCTCTTCGAAATTTCTCAATGACAATGGTCTGCGTAGTATTGCCAAAGGTTCCGCCGATCAGGCAAACTCCGCAGTTGCCAGCCAAAATGCTGCCGGCAAACAAGCCGCCTACGTGGCGAAGAGTACGCTAGCACAGGCGGCCGCACAAGCTGCTGGTACCGCAGTGGCTGTGCTAAAAGGTAAGGAGGTACTTCTACGACGACTCGAAGATCAAAATGTAGACGAACACAAAAACTTGGAAGGGGAATTGTCGCAACTGCAACAGGCGAAACGTTCCGCCAAGACGGCACAATATGCCGCACAACAGGCCATTAATCACGTCTCGGTGCTAACGGCGACGCTTAACAATGCACAATCTGCCGCAGAGCTAACACAGAGGGCAGCTTCTGAGGCAGCTGCCGAATTGGCTTCACAAATCGATATGGTGTCACAGGCTAAATCGAAGTTGGAACAAATAGAATCGCAACTCTACACGGCGCGTTTGGATTACGAGGAGACCAAGGAGGCGGCAGAAAAGGCCACATCGTCAGCGCAAGAAGCGCAAATCAACGCTAACGATGCCGCAGTTCATGCGAACGTGGAGCTCAGCGAATCGGTGAGTGTGGATACGCATGATAAGAGCGACTACAATGTGGGCACGGTGCTTGCTGTGGACTCCGTGCATCATGGCGCCGCTGGAGGGACGCAAGTACTTGCACATAAGAAGAAATAAATGGTGTGTGCGAAGGCAGAGTAATAATATTAGATCTTAGTTTGTAATTTTTAAAACTTTTCGTATTAACTCAATTCCACATGTACCTAATAAAAGATTATTTATCAAACAACAGAGGCAAATAATTTACCAGTCTGCAGATTTAGCAAATAAAATGATTTGAATGGTTCATCCTAAATTCTCATTTGTCTACTAAATATTGCCTGCGTTAGGTAAATTCACCGAATAGCCGATTTATCAAGATGAGTAAATTTGGCACATCCGACTTTATTGCTATTCTAATGTTTTCGTAGCGAGGGAAACCATCGAGATTCGCTTTAAAGGTCTTGGTCGTTGTGATACAGATACTCTCAATAATTCCAATAACGGCAAATCTTTGGATATTCTTTCGAACTTTTTAAGTAAATAAGTTCTTCAAATAGTTCAATCAAATAAGTAAGGATTCCATTGTTTAATATCGGTCACAACATCCGCAGCGTTTATCGTCTCTTGATTACATCTGAATTTTAAAGTTTCAATTATCTAAACAAAGTCGCAAACAACAGTCACATTTACAGGCTGTCTTAAGAATTCATGTAAATTTTAACTTAGGCTTCGGTACGATAGCCACGTTCGCACGGAAGTCTCAACACGAAGTAGCTTGCTGCAATTGATACAGAGGCCGAATAATCCTTACCTAGTCTTGAGCGTACAGTCAGCGACTCACGGCGAGTTTTATCACCCCGCCATCAGGGTAAGTGCTTAAATCTCAGGAAGGGTCTTAAAGTCATCCATTAACTCAGCCTTATTTTGAACGAACTTGGTACTGATACACGAATTATTCGAAGAGTTCACAGAAAATGGCCTTTTAGTGTTCGTCATTGCTGGCGCAAAAAAACTTTCAATCTTTGATACAAACCAAATTGGTTATTGTCGATCTATAGAAAAACAGATGTTTGCTGTCATTTTCAAATATGTACCGGATAAAAATATCAAAAGAATAACTTTTTTTCGAGTTCTACTTGTATAGCTTATTCCTTTGTTGTGCTCCCAAATGTGGCATGTAAACGAGAGTTTAACATTTACCCCAACCCAGTTCACTGTTTTTCTTTACGAAACTCACAAACACAATTTGTTATATATATTTTTATTAAAAAACAAAAACAAAAATAATAAATAAGTTACATTACATGTAGTTGTACATTTGTACAAATGTATTATATATCCAAAATCTCCCACACATACAGATTTTTTATTTTTTTCTTATATTGTTGTGTGACTTATATTACGGATTGAACTATGCTGATAACTTAACATTAAGCTGGTGCAACAATCATACCCCACAATTTGATTTCAATTATTTGTATATTTTTCTCTCAATTTCTCGAATGTGCACAATGACTATTTAGGAATGACATATTTACTTAACGACCTACAAATAGTGTTGAGAAACTCACACTTGGCGGCTTCCTTTAACTCGACTTCATATAATGCAACCGTTGCACCACCAACTCGAACAGGCTTCGTTTCGTAACGCCACTTCCGCTAACTTAGTAATTTAAATCCCTGCGTAGCGCTACCAAGCGCTCAACCCCCCCCAAAATCAAGCTTCATTCGTTTCTTGTGTTGTAGTCTGACTATTTGCCGCCTTGATGCTGTCCAACTTCGCCTTCAGCTCAGCCAGATGATCGTAAACAGGTTGCGGTGTGATTACATCCACTGCGGTGGTGATCTCTGGCAAGTCACTTGTCATCGTTGTTATTTCGTTGTTTAATTCGACCCTACGTGTCTCCAAAGTAGGGCTTATAGCATCGCTTTGCGCTTTCTCCGCCGCTGTAGTGGTTGTATCTTCAACTTGTATAGCAAAACTGCGCGCTTTGTTCGACACATGTATATCATCGCTGTCCACGCGTCCTGCTCTAACATTCTCTTCCTCAGCCATGGAATCTTTGAGTGTTTGTATGTCCAAACCGCCATTACCGCTTTCATTGTCAGTATTTTGGCTGTATTTGGAGAAGTAAGTGAGCGATTTCATGAGCTGATAACTTTTAGAGATCGGTATATTGGAATCATAGACACTTTTGCTGGCACTGCAGTCCACATAAAACCACCAGTTGCATTTCAAGATTGTTTGATCGAAGAGTGTGCTCTCTGGACAGAGAAATGATTTGCGTACGAGCCCATCATCGGTGAGCGCACAAACATGGAACACCTGAACAAGAAATATACTATATAGGGAGTCTGATTGTTGTATTAGTTAGTAGCGTTGTTTCTTACCATGCAACCAAGATCCGTATCGGCATACAGTCCTGGGAAATGCTTCTGTTTACCGCATGAGAAACTCGTCGGCGGCAGATCAACTTTTGATTTAAAGTTATCATCGAAGTTCTTGTCATAACCAACTGGATAGTATTCGCGTGGTGCATTCATGACCTATGCGAAAGAAATTTATAAAATTTTTTAACTCCTTCGGTATCATCAGATGTTGCGTTTTTTCCCAATAAAATCTCTATAAAACCCCTTTTCACGGTCTTATAACCTTCAATATCCTAACCAAAATATTTAACCTTCTGATAGCTCTATGTCGTTATATTGGATTCCAGCGTCCGGTTATTGGGGATTTACTTTTTGATCAAAAACCACCCTTTTCGACAGAGAGAGTAGAGCAAAATTAGTCAAGGGTCAATGAAGACCTTTCTTCATAGAGGCAAGTAGCGGAAAGTCAGAGTTTTGGGAAGCTGAATCGGCTATTTTAACCAAGGGGATTCAAGTATCTTTTGGAATAATAAATATCTGAATATTGTGACGAGAACACCGATAAAACCCTTTAAAAATGTTTCTGTCTGAACAAAGTTTAGCGTTCTATACTTTACAATAACAACTATAACTGTTCCACCGGCATCGGTTTACTTACCTTCGACATCTTACTCTCGAAAGCCACATTCTCAAGTTCGTTCTGCGGTTGCGCCCAATTCATCACCGGTGCTTTCATCGCTGGTACTGCTAACGGTGCTGGCGTTGTCGTTGTCGTGGTACGTGCTGTCGTCGAGGTACGTACAAATTCTTGACGCAACTTGGCCGCCAACATAGCACGGTGCTCGGCTTTCATTTGTTGTTCGCGTACGTAAATTGCATGCTTGATTGTGTCCACGCTGACATTGGCCGCCGAAGCTAGTTCCTCTACCGTCACATCCTTCAAATCGAACTTCGGTTCTTCGAACTGCAAATAATTTGGGTGTCCATGCATAATCCGTTCCTCTGCGTTGGTGAGGGACTTTGTAACGGCAGCGAGACGTGCGACCGAATTAGGCATTGCCTGGAAGGCGGGTACAGCAAGCGGTTGCGAGACAGAAGGATTCGCGACGTGGAAAGTACGATTGGAAGTCTGTGAAATTCAAATAAATAAATAATACAAATTGAAGCTCAGTAAGAGGGAAATCTTGCTGCACTCACTATTGGATCGGAGTAACTCTCCACCAACTTGTTGTTGTGACGTACTCGGGGATTTGGTGAGTCCACTGCGATATTCGTACGTCGTTGTGCAATTTGCGCTATGGGCACAGTTGCTGTTTTCGGTATGGGTCGGAATGCTGGTACACCTAACGGTAAAGGCCTTGCTTCTGTCATTAGTTGTGTAGGCGCTATCTGACGTTTAAGATTTTCTCTGTAAGCGACGTTGTAATTAGCAGAGGCACGCGCGCCAATGCGCTTCTCGGGTATGGGATGCTGTACTGGCTGATAGGGAGAGAAAATAATGTTAGTTAGTTTGCGTAAATACCTATTTTCTTCGAATAATAATAGGAAATACATATTATTATGTATACACTTTTGAGATATGAGCACAAGGTTCACCGAGACAGCAATGACGTACTCCATAAATCGAAAACCAAAAATATTCCTTATAAATTCTTTTGGAGAATGATGTTGTATTGGGTCTGGTCTTAGGTTAGGTAAATCATAAAGGCTTTTAACCTCAACGCTTTTGAATATTTCGGTATACCTTTTTTGAGCTTGCTATTGAAACATATGTAATTCTTTCTACACATCCTTAGCTACCACTTTATCACTTTATCAGAATATGAGGCTAACATTGAAGAATAGGCTTATTAACTTCTGCCCGTATGTTTCCTTTTTTCTTCGAATGTAGGTTATATTTTTCAAAATAATGTTGATGATCTTTGATCAAGATCAATATTTTAGAATGTATTCTGTGGCATTGAAGACCATCGGTAAAAGAATTTAGTTCGCCTTGGAATGTTTGGCGAAATTTCGATTTGTAATGACGCGCAAACTTATGTGACGGGCTAAAAAAGAATAGACGGAGCAACTCGTCCTATAGCTTTTCTCAGTATAAAATTAAAAGATAATGAATTTCGGGTGTCCGATCTGAACTGCTCTGGTCAATCTGGTGAACTTTTATGTATTTCAATAAAAATGATCATACACTTTCTCATATTCGCTTTACACTCATATGAAACGCTGAAATGTAGAGGCCATTTACATTTGAGGGGGAAACTCGCTGGTGTCTACGTAGTATTTAAGGGATTCTGCAAAAATGATAGGGATAGTGAAGACAGAGGAACGCTTTCGTTGGTAGAAAAAATCTGGTGGAGTATACAGCAACAATAAAAAAGAAAATTATAGCAGCGGTGTTACTATATATTTATTTTTATTTAAAAAAAATACAAAGAGAACTTCTAAGTCGATTAAGGTATTTTTCGTTGAGTTTAGGTGTCTTAGAAGCGAAAAGCAGTAACAAGAAATATTCTCCCGCTAAAGCTACAGCTGACCACAACAAAATCTAAGCCTTGGCAACATTTATGACGTTCAACTTACCGGCTGTTGTGTAGCAGGCATTACACCTGCAGCGCTTGGTGGCGGCCCATTTTTATAGCTAATGGCGCGTCGTCGCTCCGGTTCACCCTCAACATTGCCGAGCGATTCAGCGAAGCCTAATTCATCGCCTAAACTGAAACCTAAAAACAAAAAATAAATTGATAATTAAAAATATTAAGAATTATTATATTTCAAATTATATTTAATAATTAAATGATTTTAAATTTCTTATATACAAAAAATAATAATTTTGTTTTAATTAAAAAGAAAAGCTTAATAATTTTTAGTTAATTAACTGTTTTAGTTTTTTAGCAATCTGCATGTACTTTTTTCGCCTCTAAATTAATGTAAGCGCTTGAAGCACAGCAGTCGGAAATGGCAACTTGCAAGCAAGGTGAGCAGATTGCACTCATTAGCAGCTATCGCTACACACTTCACGCTGCTGGTGAGCTTTTGGCGATTTGCACGGCGCAAGCGTGCGCGGCCAGTCGGTCGGTCGCCACAATTGCTTCATGCTCGCCGTTGATTTTTCACTTTTCGCTTGCTTTTAACTACAGATTCGCGTTGTTTTTTATTATAAGACTTCATGTGTGTACTGCATTTTTTGTTGTTTTTGATGCATAATGTCATTGACATTGGCATAAATACATAATTATTTCTTATATATATATATATGTATATTTATTATTGGTTTAACGTCGATTTTAATGTGATTTTGGTGTTTTAAAATTTTGTGTACCTTGCCAGCTAATTCTTGCAACCAGCAGCTTTTCTAATGATTTTGTTAAAATTTCAAATAATCACATATATTTTTGCTAACTGTGAAAAGTTTAACGCATGTTTATTATTATTGTTAACAGAGTGAGCGCTGTAGTTATTTTTACAAGCAAACATAACATGTTAATTAAGAAATTAGGAATACAGTCATGCCTTGATACATATAACGCCTTATGCAGGCAGGTGCAAGTTATTGAGTTCACTACTTCATGTATTTATAGTATTAGTAAGACTCTTTAGAGCCGTGGATTTACAAAACTTTATTTGCAAATGAAAACAATGTGAAGAAAAATGCAAAATAAAAAAATAAAAAACACAATATTTAGAAAAAAAAATAAAGTACACCAAGAACTTCCAATTTGTTGTAGGTGTACTAAAGTGGAATTTAAGATAACTCCAAATTAGTACAAAGCAGAATTTCACAAATGGTTTTCAATACTAACCGATTGCCTTTTTGCCGCAATAACAACAAGCACTAGACCATGAAATCTCGTTTAGGTTAGACATTAGTGTCGATAACATATCGCATAATTTGATGATAAAAGCAAAAATATCAAAAATATAACATTAGAAAACTATTCGACCTTAATACCATCCATCGAATTTTTGGCTAACAGTAAAACAATGTCAATCTGATTATTTTTTATTACCAAAGAAATAGTACTGCTTAACTTGTTCAGAGTATTGCAAACATTAAGAAAAGCTGGTATAAATGAACTAACTGATACAACTAAATGAAAATATATTGTTCCACCAGAACATAACCACTCTAAGGGGTATGACCACTGTAGAATTTTCAAAAAATCATTCTTCTTTTCACTTAAACTTTGCTTTATAATCGAAAAAATAAATTTCAAATTGATTTGTTGCAAAAAAAATGTTTTCAAACGACTTTAAGCGTGTATAGTAGGCCCACCTCCGGCTCAGTTATATGTGAAACTTCAAACGCGTTTTTCTCAGTACTACTTTTTTTCAAATGGACGAGACAAATAACTTTGACAAATTTTTATTCGACCGACTTCAAATTTTTAGATTATTTTTAGAATTGAATTTGGTATAGAAGTACGTAGGAAAATTTTGATTGGTTCAAAACTTTTTTTTATGGCGAGTTTATTATGAAATTGTTGACTAAAAACCAAATTTTTCAATATTTACAAATTCCCCTACGCACTTCTATGAGTATTCGCATTGATAGATTAACGACGCTTTTTTATTTTCTTCCAAAACGACAATTGTGGCTGCTAAATGTCTCGCCGCGGCGCGCTTAAAATAAACGATCAAAGAGATATCGCACGATTAGTTTACTCTAGTCAACAAAATTAACCAAATCATCAGCTTGCGATTCAAACTTGATAAGTGTTTCATTAACTCTGTTCGATTTAATTTTGTTATATAGTGGTTAGTTCAAAAATATATGGCATTATGTTAAATATGGTTAAATCGTAATTCATTAATAGAGATTATTATATCAAAATTATACCCGATGTGGCATTATATCTTGGCTTAAAAATTTCATTATAAACGTATGCATGAATTCACGATATATCATATATAAAGAACGTGTGCAGAATTTTACTTAAAAACAAAATATCGACCTTAAGTTGTCTTAAGATCTTTTTTGATACTATTATTTATGACTGAATTAAATACCTATTTATAAACTATCCATAGTATTTGTGTATGTTAGTGTCAACCTAAGGGGAACTAAGTGTTCGAAATTTATTACTCTAGTTTGATAAGATAAATTAATACTCTCGCCAGTCGAGTTGAATTCCGAGTGACTGTTTGTCCGTGCAAAATTAAGATATTTTGATGAAACTTGTCACCATAAGACGGTCGCCATTGTCACTCCCACAAAATGCCGTTAACCGAAAACATTGGTACAGGATAGCAAAGTATGGAGGACAAATCAATTTACTGAGAATAAGTCTTTCATCATACAGTGCGAAAATGGTTGATAACCCACTTGACATATTACGGTTATGTTGAAAACTACTAAAAGTGTGATAACTCATTAAAAAAATACGTCAGAAGCATTTAATTTTGCACCCAACATAGCAAAGAAGTCCTTCATATGACTATCTGTACGAAATGGACACTGTCCACTTTTAGAGCAAATCCTATATCTCACAAACTATTTTGCCCTTCCTTACTTTTTTTAGTTTACTGCTATTCATAGAGATGCAAATAAATATTTATTTGTCGTATTTCGCTAATATTTCATTACGGGTGAAGTAAGAAATAATTTTGTGTGTAAAAAACTATCATTCCACAATGTGTATTCATTTTCGGTCATTTAAAATGCTCATGTTTAATTTGTTTTGTTTTGCAATAGACTAGCTATTTTTATTAGTTTTTATTAAATATATTATATTTTCTTGTTGTTGTTGCATTTACCTAAACCAAAATGTGCTTTTAGGCCGCCCAAATTCCTTACACGAAATAGTCCAGACTTTTTGAAGTTACAATTGAGTATGAAACCAAATTCAGATTCAAAAACGCATGTCCCGCAAGCCAATCCTAAAAACAAACACAGAAAAAGGATATGTTTTTTTATACAGAAAAGTTTTTTTTGTTTCTAGTTTTAGAAGAAAGCGGATTTGATAAGCATGATGATTTTGTATGGAATGTTAGTTGTTGAGACGATGTGAGAGTTTTGTTGTTGTGAGTGTTGTTGGAGAGATGACAAGATCTGGGATTGATAAAAGGATATGAAGGATACATTTAATTTGTTTAAAATCCTTTTTGAAGGAAATTATGCATTTCAGTGAGATGATATGAGGAGTTTGAAATTTTCTGTGTTGTTTTTGCGATGATTTATTGATAATTGACATGCAAAATATAAATATAATAAAGCTTCAACCGATTACATGTACAGTGAATTTTAGTTCATTTACTAAATCGCAATACCATTGATTTCGAAAAGTGCTTGAAATTATTACATAACCGAAATCAGCCGAAGCTTTGCGTTAACGCTCAGGTATCATATACATATATAACATTACCTTCGTTCAACTATGAGTTACCTACGAAAGCATGAAATGTCAAAAACAACTAAACGCTGACAAATAGAAAATTTTCTTAACGGAACATAGATGATAAAGTTCCGTCCATAACGTGTAGTACAAGGTAACTAAACCCAAACTGATATACACTCCAGATCATTTCTGGTAAGGAATATTGCGTACTGGCTTCTATACATCGAGACTAAAACCTGGTTCTAGGCCTATAAGTAATATTAGGTCTAATAAAAAGAATGCCATTGTTTTTCCAATAGATGATTTCAGTAATATGTATCCTGTTTTGTTTTGTATTGTATAAGTACAATCGGGTGGTGTGTGCTTTAAAATTTTTTGTCAAAAAATTTTCTTAGTGCTTCACACAGTGTTTTTTGAGCACGAGCAAAGATGGACACCAACAAACAGAAAATACAACATATTCTACGGTTTTTATTCGAGAAGGGCGAAAACGCAAGCCTGGTACTGATACTATCGCAGCCAATCGTATTTTCGGCAATTTTAATGTCCAAGATGCAACACGCTATGGAAAGCCCATTTTCGAAAATACTAATAAATTAGGGAAATCGACGAGTCCGATCATCATGTAAGCCAGTATAGTATATTTTTCTGTTTAATCAGTTTATTATTATATGTTTGAGCAGTCTACAAGTAGTTTAGAAGTCTTTCTCTATAAAGTCTATCTATTCCGGTGGTGATACCAAAAAACAATCTAACAGTGCTGTCTGTTTTTCTGTCTAGTGTAGTCTAGTATAATCTGATTTTACAATTTTGTGTGTCTATCAGTCTCTTTGTCTGTCCGGCACTCCTTATGGTTTATGGAGTATGTCTATCAATAACCACAACGAACGTGGGTTTTGTCCGTCCAAGAATTCTAAATTAGGCAAAATTATACAAAAATATTTTTGGAATATTTTACACCACATTTACGAGCATGCCCTTTTTATTGACTATCGGTAATCTACGAAGCTTTCAAAGCTTCAATATCTTTTCTGGGGATTTGAAGTGTCGTAAATCACACAAAGATGCATCAGCTCGGCGAACGTGTCACCTTCAACGAAGTTCAGAAATAAAACAACACGCCGATCGGCATTGCTGATAGATTCGCCAACACGTACGGAAATTCCAAGTGAAGGGCGTAGGCTATTCATTATCTGTATAACGGTTAAACAAAAAGCTCAACTGACACCGGTCGCGTTATGTATTACAGAGCCGAAGCCGGAGCCAGAGTTGGCTGTAAATGTGTTTGTGGCGTCTTAACTGACAGTTAATTAGTAGTCTTAAATCCTCCAAAGATACTCCCAAGAGCATCAGATAAATGTACATACATATGTTTATGTTTAATTGAAAACAACTGACACAAACAACAAGCGAATTAGTGACATTCGCTGCCAAAGTGTTGCGAAAGTTTAAAAAAACGTGCGTTCATTCGAATGGACCTACATAAAAATGTAGGTTCCTACATAAATTTATAGCGGAAGCGCATTGCAATTATTTATATACAAAAGTATGTAGATAGGTATGTCTGTGATGGTAGTTTAAAATAAACGCTGGTCCCTAACGGTTTAATGTGCTTTGCCCAGACGACACACTGAACTTGGACTGTCACGGCATGTGTAAAATTTTTAAGGTGTGCAAGTGCGTGGCTTGGCATGTCGTGTGGTGCCAAACGGGGTTAGTATGTTGCTGTTAGCGTTGCCAAAAAAAAGGTGGAGAAGTCACATTTGCATGCAGTTAAATTAAAATAGACGATTTTAATTGATTTGCTTCAGTTCAATTATGACATATTTTAAGTAATGCAATTAATTTGCAAATTTCACAACCGAGCGGAAGTTTTGAAATAACTAAAAGCTTGCCAAATATATGCGAAAACGCATTACAACCCAACTGTCAAAGTAAACACATTTGTTTGACATTCATTTACAGTATGCTTTTGCCAATTGTCTCTCAAAGATTTACAGCAAAAAGTTGCATTTAAAAAAGGTTCAAAAATAGTGATTTTTTCAATTCAAAGTATGGCATCTGTTTGCAAACTTATAGATTCATTTACATATGACAGTGATGTGACAAATTTTTGGTTTAATGAGTACGTAAATAAAAAAAAAAAAACCTTATTGAAATGTGAGCAACTCAAAAGAGAACCTACAGGTTCCCTTATTAGAACATAGCTTACTTGAACGAAACAAACAAAGAAAATAGTTTTGGTCTCCTTAGTCCTGTGACTTGACTTCATACGTTTTATTATCGGTCGACAAGTCAAGGGTTTATAGAGCAGACGGACATGGCTAAAGCGATTTACACTTAATTCAAAAGGGCCTTGAAGGCTTGCAATTGATTATTGTGGAAAAACTTTTTATAGCCTGAACTGGTTATATTATTTTGCCATGAAGTTTGTAGGAAATATTGGAGAGTCTATAAAGCTTCCGTTCTTCTGTACACATATATGCGAACTAGTCTTTCAGTACAGACGTCCTTTTCTTCCCAAGTAGCTACTCAGTTGTCGGAATCGCCGATATCGGACCCATATTAGATAAAGCTGCCCAAACTGATTGATCAAACTCCAGTCCTTATATGGAAAACCTTTTTATTTCGGACTATTATAGCATTTAGTTTCCAGTCAACTGATCGATTAAAATCAAGCTCAAAATCTTTTTATATTATTTTTTTGCTTTAAAAAATGCACCTGCGAAGTTAATGTGAAAATTCCTTGGAAAATTTGACTAAATCTTTGTAAAATATGTATCTTTGGAATAATCAAAGCTTTTAATAAAATATTTAAATTTTTATATGAAAAAATAGGGCATTTTTAGCTGGAGGAAACCCATGACACCACTTAAAAAAAACTCGCAAAAAAAAAATAAATCAACTGCTGTTAGAAAACGACAACTCTGCAATATTCATTTTTTCATTATTTTTTTTTTACAGTGTATTCCACCCAGACATGAATATTAGAGATAAGTGTTCAAAAAGCCAAAATTAAAGCAACAAATCAGGGTGACCATGTCGGGGCGTCGCATGCCAGTTAAAGAGTAGAAACAGTGGAAAAACAAAATCAAACAAAAACAAATAAATAGACCCTCGTAAATGTTACACTACATTACAGCAAATGATCACAAGTACTAATCATTACAATGACATGGAAGCACTTAATGTTGCTGTAAACTAAAATTATATTTAACTGTATTATAACTGTTTTTTACGCTATTCTAAAAGATGTTAATTGATGTCATCGTGCCGGGCACTTAAAATGGAATAACTCGCTGATGATCGCAGTTTTGTTAATTTGATAACTTAGTTAAGTAAGCTAGTATTATTTTTGGATTTTATTATTGTATTTGTGGGTAAGTTGTGGTACTTATCTTTCTGGTTAATTTATCAACAACAAAAAGTCTTTTGAGTGGAATCTAAACAAACAAAATATTATAGTTACTACAAAATGGCTATAACAATAAATACATATACATAGCTATTCAACTATATAATTAGATAAATTTAACAACTTATGAGACATTGTAATAAGTGAAACAGTATTTATAGCTATTTAGATAGTATCATTTGATACTCTTATGAGCTGTCAACTTTTTTTTTAACTAATTTTTTGAATAGAATCGAAAGCATTCAGGGTTTTTACCACTCGAAACCGAGAGTTATAGTGTTTTTTTTTATTCTGCTCTATGGTAGGGCTGTCAAAGTTGCGTGTTCTTTTCTCACAATGTTGCCTTCTAATCAGAAAACAATGAAACAATTCAAAAGTGAGAGTTGCCCAGGCAATGTTTATTTTTCGTTTTTAATAGTTTTATTTTAAATCAAGTTTTTCTACTAATTATAAAGAATCGGTCAATTTTGTTAAGCTCAGTAATGGATATTGCAAATGAGTTGGGTTGTTCTTTTATCATGTAAAAAATGGAACATTTATATAACACTAGGATCGCCAGTGGTCGAAATTCGTTCAATAGAAAATACAATTTATTAACAATGCTAATAGTATTTAAATTTTATTGAAGAATTTGAACAAAATGTGAATAAAATCTAAGGAAAGTTGTAGAAATTAATGTTGTCAATTCAATTTTCGTTGAAAGTTGCAACAAACCAACCGCATGCAAAGAAAACGGCAATAAATTCAATCAACTCCTATTTCGCTGTTGTCGTTGATATTGTCAATTCAACTAACTACATAAAATTGACCTTGGAAAAAATGTTTTCAAAAAATTAACTATCATAAAATGCACTTGAAATTAGTCTTCAAATTTCTAACTCACCATAATAAAACGAATTATATCAACCACTTCAATGTGTTTTTTTTTCACAAACAAAACATTAAATTTAATTTGCGTTAAAAATGTAATTGTAACAGAATTCAATGTTGTAACACGCAAAGTCCAAGCACAATTAAAATTGGAAAAAAATCGCATCCACAAATCCGCCGTAAACGATACACAATTATTCCATATATAATATGATTTGCACCTTATACAGAACAGCGACGAAATGTACTTCTGTATA